TTACTAGTTTGTCCACTATATGTTTCAAAATATTATATATACAGCTCAGAATAGGATTTCAATTCTTAGCAAACTACCAAGACAAAGCAAAGTTGATGTCTTACTAAGACATCTACTATTCTGCAGATGATCACCGTATCTAATAATGAAAAATCCAATTATGTCATTATTGTTAGTCCTCTGCAGGGTTAGGGTATAATCCCAAACTCTTATTTTCCATATAGCTGATAAAAGATAACTCAGAGAATAAGTAACACTTGGGCTTTCATTAAAAGAATATTAATAAAAAATAGGGGAATCTTCTCAAAGAAAGGGGTACATAGTCCAAGGGCAGAGAAAAAGAAATCAAGGTAGTTAGGAATAAAGTAATTTTCCTTGCACTGGAGTCTTTGGACATAAGTGACCTCCAAGACACAGAATGAAAATTTAAGGATGGAGAATTAATGGTGAGGAGACAGGAAGAACACATATTTATGGCTCAGGGCAGGAACTTTCTAAGACTCAGGATTTTGCTGATGAGAGGTAAAAAGGACAGGAGAATATCCATACCATTTTTTTAAAGCAGCTGGCTGATGATTTGCTAAGGGGCAGTCTGAAATGCCATACTCAGTTCTTTCCCTCCAAAGTTTTGGATGTCTGAAAGCACACCATTTGCTGCTAGGGAGGTGTCTTTGGGCTTGCCATGAGGAAATCACCTAAGTGTCCATTTCTTTTCTCCACTTAGGACAAAAAGATGTCATTGACTTCTCTAGAAAAAGCACAAATTTGCTGTGACTTTTTGTGAATAATATCAAATTCAGACTGGTGTTTCTGCAAAAGTTATATGGTAGTTGTAGCTTCCATACATTTTGCTCTCACATACCCCCTTCCCACAGACAACCACCAGGAATTATGGAAGTGTTGTTGCTGCTTTTGGCACACAGACAGCTTTAGGTGTCCATGAGCTTGTGCTTGGCTGGGGCAATTGTGGAAACACAGCTGATGAACATGAAAGAGTCCTACACTGTGGGCTCTAAAGGCAACCTTGTCTCTTCTTTTTTATTCTTCCTATTGTCACCGCTTCCTTTTACCTAGAGGGGCAGAACTCACATGGATACTCTTTGCAACATGAGGGGTGCAGAACAACTATGGCTTGATTTTTCTGTGGCTTTGGGCGTTGACATGCTCCAGTTAAGCGCAAAGCTGGCTGCTGGCCTCTGCTGGGCGCGGAATTAGTGCTTCCTCTCCCTTTGCCTCTAGCGTGCTGTGCGGCCAGGACTGTAGTGCAGGAGAAAGAGGGTGAAACAGCAGAAAAAGTGGGGACATGAACAGGATTCCAGCACTTTGCTGCCACCCCTCCTTGACCCCCACCAAAAGCCAGCCACCAGCACAGCGCCTGAGCCATTGCTGCAGCGCTGCAGGAAGCACAGACATCCTATGAAATACTCTGAAAAGCGCCTGCAATTATATTTATACCTCCTGGGGGTAAAATGGAAGTTTTCAAGTTTAAAGCTGAAAAGAATTCTTAACAAGTGTCAAATTCAGTGTCACCACACAGCTCTTCATGAACCAAAAGACACATCCTTTTCAAGCTCTCCTAGGAAATTTGGCAGTTCCTATCATTACCAGCCCCTGTCATTACCTTGAAAGAAAAATATATAGAGATGGAAAACTGACATGCTGCCTGGAGGCTGCTGGTGCTCAGAAGGTTAAATGTTAGTGGCAAAGGAGAGGACAGCAATCTACCTGAGCACATCACCTGGCTGCCTAGGGGCACGGCCAGTTGTGTTTGTTAACATTTGCAACATGAATGAAGTCATCAGCATGGCTATGACAGGTCCATCTTTCAAATATTTCACAGCTTATTTTCCATATTATTTGTGTTACAGCCACATACCTCTTTCCAGGATGGACCCAAAGCATCTGTTTTCAGATAAAGCTTTAGGCAGGGCCTGGTCACAGATGCTGTGTGGGACCACAGCTGGCTGCTTTGCCATCCCTTTGCAGCAAAAAGCCAATCTCATACCGCAGTCAGGCCATTCACTGCTACTCATGTCTTTGTTTTGGCACAGAAGGGATTTTTTTCTGTGCGTGAAAAAGAAGGGTCTGAAAGACCCTTTTTTTACACTGCTTCCTGTTGGTAAACTTTACCACAGCATTACCTTGACTGCAGCTCACACTGCGTAGCTTTAGAGAGAAGGGGTGAGCGTTTACACCTCTCTTTCTCTTTTCCTGTTTCTCTGGGAATCACCTGAGTGTTCGGAAAAGGTATTGAAAAGCTTTAAACGCGTGCCTGTGCTTCCTGCACAGAGAGCAAAATCTCCTGTAAGCTTGCCAGACCTTTCATAGCTGCACCCCAGGGATTTAACACTGCACAGCTTATGGCTTTATATGAAATTTCTTAAAAGAGAAGGCCTGTATTTTCACATAAATATATTTATTTTGGGAAGGATCAAGAAGTTCCAGTGTATTTTAAACCAGTTCCCTGCTGCAATAAAAATGTGAAATATTCATGTGAACATTTGCTAATCCTATACAATGAATCTATTCCTCTCTCTATTTAGCATGCAGGCTGCAGCTGCTGAAGGTTGTTGAGCCTTTTCATTAGGAAGAAATGTAAGGATGATGTGTGAAAACCGCATGGATGTAATCTTAAGGAACAGTATAGAAGGGTGTTAAGAACAAAACCTTGTAACCTACCTTGTAAGCATGATTTCTCTTTCATATGTTTGTTCTTATATGGTCTTTCACTGCTTTAAACTGTAAATTTATATTTATGGACATAATTAGAAATGCTATATAATACACTCTCATAATACAGAAATAAGAATATAAGCACAGCAGCACACATTTTCAGAATATATACCTCAGGCTCTCTAAATTCTGCAGGAGGTAGTATCACCAAGCAATTCCAATTTCTGTTCAGCCATTATTCCTGCTAATGCAATGAGTTATTTTCTCACCAGAGCCAAGTTCTGCTTATCCATCCAGATCCATCTGTGGCGCAATATCTGACAAATAATCTCCTTCTTCATCTACCTGAACTCTGACAACTTTAGCAGGAAATCAAAAATGAGTGCCTGTGATCCCCGATTCCACCAGGGGACAACATATGACCTTGGGATTTCATTTAAGTCTCCTGATGCTATGGATTCCCTAAGCATTAAGTGGAAATAGCATTTGCTTTCCTGAGGGATGCTAATATTTAAGTATTGCTTCAAAGATCCTCAGATAAAAATACCTATATATGTGCAAATTTTTATGCTTCCTTCTGCTTTCCTATAGCTCCAAGATATAATAATACACTGAAAAGCAAAATTTTCTTGTGAAATAAAATTGTACTTGGAAATGTCAGGCCTGCACAGACCAATGATCCAGGAGTTGCTGAAGGCAGTGTATCAGAAGAAGCTGTAACCCAGCCTCTCCATGTGCAGAATACTGTGACCAAGAAGAAACTCTTACCAGAATTAGCCATAACCCTTTCCCCTATGCCAAGAGCTATGCCCAGTACATAAACCCTGTCACAAGCAGTCTAAGGGCACTTTGGATGCATCCACCTTGACTTGCAGAGCAGCAGTGGTGGGCATGAAGAACCTGTGCAGGAGCTATGCCACGTCACTTGGCAGTTTCACTGTGTTTAGTAATAAAGACACAGACTGTGAAGTTCCCTAATGTACTCCAATTTTTGTACACGAGCTTGAATGGACAATAAGGCTGTGGAGAGGATGACTTAACACCTTGACAAGCACCTGAGAACTCTAACAGGTGGAAGAATTTCTTAGAAAGACTACAGGAAGGAATTCTACTCCTTTTTTTTGCATAGTAATCCCAAACAGTAAAGTGACAGAGATTTTAAACAGAGCCAGCCTGGTCACAGCTGGCATATGAGAGAATTACAGTATTTGGTAAATATTTGCCCCTAACACTCTTTGTAATATACAAAGCATATGAATGTTTCAATAAAATTAATTTTTTTGTTGATCCTATGAAATTTTTTATTATGTTGCTGCTCTGTTAGGACAAAATTCAGGAATATCACTCTCAAAGTGGAACAGATTCAAAAAATCCAAGTCTTCTCTGTTCATGCAGGAGGTGTGAGCAGAGAGTGATTCCTCTGGATCTGCACAGTGTTACTTACTGGCTACTTTCCCCCCCACCAGAGTCTTTGTTAAAGGCAAAAGCCCAAATTAAGCACAATTTGTATGTTTACTTGGCAGCCACACAACAGAAATCCCATTGCAGGAACTGTAAGATGTAGCTTCATACACATAACACAAACCAACAGAAATCAGGTTGAGAAACCAGATTCAGAATGAAAAAACAGATCAGGAGACTAGCTCACATCTTCTCCTAAGTTACAAACTGCAGATATTACACTTTTTAAGAGTATGGTAGATTTTTTAACATTTCACACACATCCTGATTTAGGAATCAATATTGGAGTGAAGCACAAATACTGCAAAGGCACAATACACACAATTAATTTAGTATTTCCAATCCTAATAGAAACATACCAGCAGCATCTTTAGAGATGTCACTTTTGTAGCCCAAGAGATTGATTAGTACAGGGATAAGCACCTATGCTTTTGGGTACTAATAGGGTTCTTTGCACCAAAACATCAGATGTTCTTGTTCAACCCCTTTAGTTTTCTCATCAGTGTCCAAATTAACTTTCTTTTTCTTTAAGAAACAGCTTCTGTAATAGGAAGAGTTGAGTTATGCTGACTCTCTATAACAAATGAAGCAACTCTTTGCTCATTTTCCTGCTAATGAAGTTGAGTTTATCTCATTAATGTTTTTCAAAAGAAACAAGAAAAATTCAAATAAGAGCAACACAAAGTGTCTTTAATGCAGTTTCTAGAAAAGTGAATAATTCAATGTCTCGGAGAAAATGAATGCGTACGCAAGAAATGGATTGCAACTACAAGATGTTTTTCCTTTGCCAAAAATTAAAGTAAAAGAAGGGTCCAGAGCTGAAAAATCTTCCCTTAGTACCTGCTCCTCCTACCCCAAAGGCTTACCTTTGTGAGAAGACGTCTCTGTAGGGGCTGCCGTGCTGCAGGGCGATCCCGTATCCTCTGTCTGCGACAGTGTTCCCAACCGTGTAGAAGGAGCACTCCGCATCGTTGATGGCCACGTACTCCAGCACCGCTGCGTCCCACACAAAGGCATAGTTCCCGTATTTCACCTGGACAAACAAAGGAAAAGCTCAGACTGAGGACTGCCAAGTCTGGAAGGAGGTCAGTGCGCCTGGAAATGGGGCAGTTTCAGCACAGTCTGCTCTTTAAAGGATGTGAAGTTTGGGTGCCCAGCTGCTGCCAGTGCCAAAGGTGCCCAGAGACTGGTGCCATGAAGGGCTTGGGCTGAGAACCTTGGCTGAAACTGAAGAAACATGACCTGAAAACAATGTACCATCAGTGACACAGTGCCATGGAGGAAATATGGACTGTCCCTTTTCAGAGAACAAAGGAAACACCACGGTCCTTCCCCCAACACTAAATTCCACATGAAATTTCCCACTTTGAGCTGTAAAAACCACTGTTTGGAGGACGGGTAGGTATTCCCATTGGGAGAAGCGTGGCAGGGTAGGTGTGGCTATCCAGAGGGAAGACCACTGTTTGGGATGGTCCACATTTCAGTCATGCTTCAAGCTGTGACAGACCTCACAAATGTCCATTTGTCTTATGGGTTCTGTGGGAAAGATCACACCAAGTAGATTTTTCGGGATAACTTTCCTCAGAATGAGGCATTTTCACATACCTTCAAAGACTCCCACAGAACAAGATCATGTAAGCCATTTTAACTGTTTGACTAAGATAAATCCAACCTCAACCATCCAATCCTCAGCTCATTACACTGAACAAGCTTTTGAAGTAACATTTCCTCATCCATTCACATTTGAAACAAATCCAGATTTAAAAAAAATTAAATATATATGATGTATCCAAAATTTAAGCATTAATTCAGAAGCAAGCCTTTAAAAACAAAAACTCAGTCTATACAAATCAATTAATTTCTGCCTTCCAGACAGATCGTGTTTTTCTGAAAAAACAGTAATCTATAGGTGCTCTACCAGACTCAGATCTTTTGCTGGTTTTCTGTTTCTTTGGTCTCTGTGTCAGAACTGAAGGATCCCTCTGCTTTCTTTCCTGCCCCTCTGCTTGGCTTCATTTAGCTTTTTCCCTGTGCTGTATTAGGCAACTAAGCTGTAAAACTAGGCTGAATCCATTGACTTTGTAGATCTAATGGGAATAAATACGTGACAGCTAAGTGAAAAGTAAACAAAACAGAAAAAGGCCATGTGGGGCCAGGCAATCCAGAGAGAATTCAAAACCAAGTCAGCATATCAAAGTAAGCAATGTCAGTACATCATTTAGATTAGGCTTTGACAATGTCGATTATGTTTTTAAAGACTGTTTACATATAAAAGTTACTGAAGCAAGCCACACCGTCTGCTTGCTCACAAGATGTAGTGCACAAGGAATGATTGCATTTGGGACACAATCCGTTTTACTGCAGGCCTGGCAAGGGAATATTTCCTGTTTCCATCTGTAGGCAAGGCAGTGGGAGGATTTGTGCAGATTTTGGAGCAGAAAGGGAGCCATATTATCTGTGGACTCCACAGGACTTGCAGGATAAAGAAAAATATTTTCTAAGTGCACACACACACACACAAATGCAGGACTGGGCCAGTTTTAATCTTCAGGTTCTGGAAATTGTCAAGAATGTTTTTTCTCTCTTCCCAGTGGAGGTTTAGGTCTATCTATACAGGCAGAGAATAAGGGATAAAGTTAAATTTGCAGTTAACACACAATAAAACTTGTATGCTTGTCCTATAGGTACTGCCACTCACAGAGCTCTTCCTAGCATGGGTTGTTCTGGTCTTCTTACAGTCACCACTGTAAGAAATAAGCATGACTGAGAAAAAAGCCCTTCCTATGAGAACTTAACAGGATAATGACTCAGCCTGAAAAAGGATCATGGTGTGCAGAGAACAAGGGAGGGAAATAGGAGACAAAAGCATAGGATCAGAAGTGGGCAAATGAATCCTGAAAAGGATCAGATGGACTTTCTGAACAAAAGAATTAAGGAAAAGTGGGGTTCTAAACCTAAGTAATTTTACATGTGGGACATAACCTTTGAGGTGATGGAAAGAGCAGAGGGTTATGTTTTGACACCAGCTTTTGTCCTAACCCGCCTTTTTATCATCCTAGTGCGCTGAATTCACCGAAGTGCTTGCAAGGAGACTTATCAGCTGCTCAGCTGGTCAGGAAAAATTCTCTTGATTTAGCTGCCTTGCTGTAAAACAACTCACAAAGAGAATATATAAAAGTGGTAAAAGCACTTACTGTCAATAATATCTGTGATGAAGTGGTATATATAAGATCCTCAGAGCAGAGCTGATAATATCACAGTTCAGGTTCCCATGAAGATATTACTTTTCACAGATAAGATCACAGTGAGCCTCAGTTAAAGTGCATGGGGCACAAAAGAGATTGAAGAGCCAGAAGGGATCATTCCCATCATCTGTCTTCAACACATGATTGCTCCATGCATTAAAATACATCCTTTTTAGCATTTTTGCCCTATTCACTTACAAATCTGAGGAATTCAAAACCATGGAGCAAACCTAAGTTGTAATTGTCATGCTTGCAATCCCTCTCCTTAGAGAACTACTTCTTGGTCTAACATTTTTCATTGTCATCCAGTGCATTTATTCTTACTACCTTTTTCTTTTATATATAACTTTCTTGTGTCATTCCTAGGTATTTCTGCTCTGCAGTTCTAATACTCACACTTTGGGGTTGACACCTTTCAATTATTGATGGATCTTTCTGTTACTTAACTGAGCTGGATATAGCTTTCTTTAATCTCTCCTTGCAAATCTATCAGCTTGGCCCTCCCATTAGCAGTGACACTACATTTGAACTGTCTCCAATGCTTAATTTTTATGCATGGGAGAAACACCTGTTTCACTAAGAGAGAACTATATGCCAGCTCTGCAGCTATAGGATTTCCTTTTTAGCATACTCTTCTTCTGAGGATTGGTCTAAACTCCTTGCCCAGGGATCTTTCACACAGCTCAAGACTGGCTTTATCTTAAAGGACTAAGAATAAAATTTTGCTAGAGTATAGCATACCTGGAACACTGATGATATTTCACAGATTTGCACCTACACCATGGAAAGAGGAGATGATGCTCTCTGTAAAGGGACAAGGGAATTTCAGAACACAGTGTCAAATAAAAACTTTTAGCCTTCTCTCTCTCCCTCTTACCATGGAAAGCACATATTTTGCAGCTCTTCAATAGCTATGCAGAAGATTTCTACTGTAGGCCTCAAAATCAACAGCAAAAATTCCAGGTCTGGAATGAGAAAAAGCTCTTTTTTGAGAAAAAATTAAGGAACTTACATTTGGCCAATTATGAGAGCTAAATGAAAGCAGAATCTCCTTGGGGGAAAAAAAAAAATGTATCCTTGCAAAGCATGTAACTCACTACTCACAGAAGAACTGCATCCCTGATTCTCCATTTCCTCATCATTATGTTGGCTTTTTGTGTAGAGAGAACAACATTTCAGGACGGTGGCAGATCTGGATGCTGCTCACACACGGCCACGCAGCCCTGGCTCACCAGGGAGGCGTTTGTAGGAGGGCAGCACATTGTCATTCTGCAGCAACCCCAGCTCTCCAGTCCACCAGGGCATGGAGAACTGACACTTCACTCTCCTTCCCTGTGGCTTCCCGCCTGTCAGCATGGCAGAGACTAAAAAGACTGTATCTGTTGTCAGAGGGGGAAAAAACCCCAGCAACAAAACCAGGCAAAATTGAAACTGTTAATTGTTCATCTGGGTATTTTGAACCCATGCGCTACAGTGATCATTAAGTGAAACTGGGAGGTGTGGTACCACACAGAAATGTACCACACAATGACTTCATGGTCCTGTGAGCAATTCCAAAGCAGTTACTGTAAAAAGGGTTGTTACACAGAACAGGAGTCATCTGCACATAGATGTTAAAACTATTTCTATAGGGCTGTTATATTTCTATTTTCTATCTCTGAACAGTTACAGAATTTTTCTTTGCTGAAGCCCTGTCTATAGATATTAGCTAAAATTTATCCTGGATGATTCCACCAAAAACCTGTTGAGTTATAAGAGGAAAACATTTAAAGCCATTACACTGTTGCATATGCACATAGTTTATGCCAAGAGGGATGTGGATAGTATTTCTTGTTACAGCTAACCTGCTCATGCAGAGTAAGTTGAATAATGTATTTAGTGTACAACTCTGGCATTCTAAAAGCACATTTTTAGGTCTAGCAAATGTTAACTTTAGGAAAAAGTAATTGTAAGTAAACAACAACCAATTGCTGAAATTTTTCATACCTGTATTCTTGGATAATATCTTTTCTGTGTTTTGAATTTGTCTATAAAAGAAACACAAGGAATCCAAATGAAAGGATCAAAGTGAAATAAAAAAAACCACAATAGATTGCAGGTTAAAAAGAACTGGTAGACCTCTTTAAAATATTTCATCGTACATGAAATGTGTTAACTGTTAGAAAAACAATGGAACTCATAAGGCCAGAAAATCTTAAGTTTAAACTGATTAGAATTATATTAATTTTCTAGAAGAAAATCTGAAAATTATTAGATAATGCTGATGAAGCCCATTTTCTGCACACCCTGTGCCTACACCCCTGAGACACAGTGGTGGTGGTGGCTTTTTCTACTCCTTTCCATTATCGGTCAGGTGCTGACTGCTGAACACCTTTCCCTGCCTATGAAGTTGTCAGCTGTAGTATTTGCTGTATTTTAGCCAAAAACAGGAGAAGACTCCTCTGCAGCATAGCAGCAGCAACTCCAGCTCTGACCTAAACCCAATCAGAGACACTGAAAAATTACCTTCTCCCCACAGCACTTTGAGGGTCCTGTTCTCCAAAACGGGCCATTCTACTGCAGGGACTACAGAGAGGCAAAAACACTATCCAGTGCTGGTAGCTAGATCTATGCCCATCAGTGTGGAGCTGAGACTTTGACATATATAAATACATTAATCAAAATTTTTATACACTCTTGACATGTTCAGGAAGTGCACAGCAGCTACAGCCTGCAGAGGGCTGTGCTCCTCTCTACAAAACAGCCTTGCCAAGGCTGCTGTTACTCAAGGAATGAAGGAGAGGGGAGA